GTTTATATACAAATTTAATCAATTGTCTTTAAAAAAAGTCAATTTATTACTATATACCTGATTTTTCATTAATAAAGCCCAATGTGCAATATAATGATATCATTAACAGACACAACAAATCTAACAAATTTAACATTTTTAATATTAATCTTTGTCTTCTTCCATAAAGTCTGGATTCTTCCGAAGCAAGACGAAACCTTCAAGAACGTGGGATAAAGATATGTCTTTTTATCGACAAAATTAGTTAAAGAAAAATATTAAGGATTAATGAGGAAAACAAATGTAATAAATAATGTCAATTTTTTACATACATTCTTCTGTAGCCAATTCTGCACGTTCAGAGTGTGCTAGCAAAACCGGTGTTGAATGTGTTTGGAATCCTGTAATGGTCTTTGGTCGCCCAGCCTGACCTACTATATCGACAGCCTTAATCACAATAAAATAAATACATTATTAGCATTGTGTCAAATTACGCTTTTTAATCAATACTGTTACCTAACATATTAAAAATTGTTAACAAATAATACAGTTAATGCAGTCTAATTGCATACTGTTTAACTGCATATACTCTCTAAATGCATAAAAAATTTGACCTTTAACAATTAACGCAAAAATGGTTCTTATGACTTAAATGCATAAAAAAGTCTCTGACGGATAGCATGCAATTAGGCATTATCGACTGTATAAAGTTATAATGATTACCTGTCCCACACGAACAGTCACAGGCAAACTATTCAAGTTTTCGTCAAGTGTGATCAAAAATCTAGGATACATTGAAGTTACCAGGTAGTACAAAAACCAATGATATCTACCCAGTATCACTAAAACAAGATGAGATCGTTAAAAATAATTTTTTAATATTTCAGAGTAGATATAGAAAGGAGCTTACGCGTTTTAACATCCGTGAAAGCAATCAAAGTTGTTAAGAGACCAGCTATTCCTACAGGTGACATCAATTGCCGATCAGAATGATACGGATTAATTGATATTGTCCCTTTGCCCATATGTAACAATCCCTATTTATTTAAAACAAGGATGTTAATCTATATTAACTTATATTTAACTTTTATTAATTTAATATAAATTTTTACCTGCGCAATTCGGACCATGAACAAACAATTGGGTTCTTTATGATAATATGACGCCAATTGTCTCAACATCTGTGCCAATCTTGCATTATTTGTTCCTGCACCAACAAGACCCATAGCAAATATTGCATTAATGGCAACATCCGTATCATTTTCGTGAGAATATTTACTAAGAGTTTCTAAAACACTAAGCAAAGGATTAGATGCGCAAAGCAAGCCTATTGCAAGGGGAACTGCGCGACGAATAACAGGTTCTCCGTAATGCATCTATTTAATAAAATAATCTATTGTTAGAAAAATTGTACAATCTCGGAAATCTAGTTTCCTTTATAAGTGTGAACATGCATCTTATTTCAATAGAAAGCATTTAAATAATAAATCAGAAATAATTAATCTGTGATGCATACCAAATGATTAAATGACCTTAATGCCATCTCAGCACCAATATCCTCACCCATCGCTATTAATGCTACACCGAGAACAGCAAAAGCTTGGTGCAAATCGTCCTCTTTGTCTTTGTCTAAATGATCATTGCAAAGATGCAACATATTTTGCACTTTAAGCACATTACCAGTTCCTGTAAAGAGTTAAAAATCCATGAATACTTAACTAATTAATGTCATTAAATTTCAAAATTAATTTAGTTACATACCTGCATATGAACAAATTTCAACCAGAACTGCGACCTGCTTGCTAAGAGGATGTTCTATAGCTTTCAAAGTTTCTAACGTCACTTCTGCGGCATCTTGTTTACCTATTTACCAAAATTCATCTATATTCATATTTATGAATTACATAATATTATTTAAAAATCTATATATTTCATACCAAGGTAAAGCAAAGCTAATCCGAGTCCCATAAATCTGCCCCAAGTTTCTTTCAATTGAGATTCATTGCGTTCCATCATCGTTTGCAATATCGTGCTTGTGATATCTCCATTACAATCCCCAACGAAAACTAGACCCAGAGACAAAGCCGCAAGAGAAGCTACTTCCATGCTTAGATTAATATCACTTACGAGAGGAAGGAGTAAATCTCGAACATCGGCTCGATGAGACCCAGCATACGCCATTCCAAGGCTAATTAATCGAATTGTAGTCAGAATCATGCGCATCTTTTACACTTTTAATGTTTAACAAGAATTTCACCTACCCAACGATGGTGCAGATCCGCATATTAGAGCTCGATGCACCTTCAATATGTTCAGAAAGTAATGCAAAAGCAGGATCATTTTCATTACGAACACCAGTATTTACTAGTCCGATAGCGAGAAGAGCACCAGCCTAAGAGTCATGTCCATATTATTAATTATTAATCTACGAAAAAGCATCCAACGAAAGAGACAAATATCTTATACATAATAATTATCATGTATGTGTGGAAAAAGCCGTTTCTATGAACAAGTCATAGCAATTCCAAACATACGAATTGACATGGCTAATACATAATATTCTACAAATCAAGACAATTACATGTGTCGCATGCAATATTCATGCGATCAAATATTTGAACTTATTCATCTTACATTTGTAAAAATTCGTAGACCTTAACAATTCATTTATACACAAATCATACCTTAATATAATCCTCAGTTGAGTATAAATATTTATCAAGTTGTGCCAAACCGGCATCCACATCCCATAGCATAATCATACCAATAGACGCAGCAGCGCTTAACATACCTGAATGAAAAGTAATAATGAAGATTATTAAATGAAAAATCAAAATGCAATAATACTTTCCAAATATTTACCATTATCTTTATTTTTGTAAATCCATGCGTTACCATCGTCAATTGAGATCAATTTATCATTACCAAACCCAGCATTAACGAATGCATTCACAAAAGTTGATGCTAAATTTTGCCGTGCAGAATCAACACTGCCACTTGAGAATCCTGGGCCTGAAAATAATATGTAATGGTCAATACAAAGCAAAAAATGATAATGAAATAAAAAAAATACTTACGAATATTTTCCAAATGACTTTTATAAATATCCTCTGGGGTCTTAGGCTCAAGAACATCTAATTCTTTCGCTAAAGCGATAAAATGTTTGGTTAAATGGGTATTATTCAATATATCCTGTATTTTTTCGTCTTCGATTGGTAGAGCTATTTGTTGCCTTGCCAATATAAAGGCAATCTGCTTTTGCAACAATCTTTATAAAATAATGAAGCAGAATTGCAAATTACAAATAATTTCAATTTGTCTTTATTATTTAAAACTAGAAGGGTTGAACATACTCATCCAATTCTCCGGCGGCATCAAAATCTTCTCGTATCAGGTCATAGTCACCAAGTCTAATGGCTAACGTTACAGCTTCTGTAAATTTGTTTTCTTTTCGATAAATTGTATGAGCAGTTCGTAAAAAAGCGACATCGTCAGGTGGAACCAACAAATTTACGCAACTATTAAATACGAAAAACTTATCAATTTTCAAGAAATAGAACTAATTATATAAAATAATTATGTCCCCATAGTTAAAGGTCCAAATGATTTAAGAATAAAATTTACCTGACCATATAAAGACATACACGCGCATAAATATCTTTATCTACAAAATCCGGCAATTTTTCAATTGCTTCTAACTCGAGTAATAAATCAACAGCGTCCGCTTCAGCATTATGCTTTAAAAAAAATGGAACAATTTCCAAGGCAAGGGCCATGAGATCTTCAAAAGGCAATTCGTTTTCCTGGCGGTGTTCGTATTCCTGACCGATTTCAGTTGATAGATGCCTTGACAAATGGATGTAAAAATTATTTTATAATCATAAAATAATGTTAAAGGTTTTATATATTAGTCGCGACATACCTCACGTATTCGTGTCCCCAAGACCCAGGATCTTCACGTGACCCTTTCAATCTATATTTCAAGGAATCTCTTTTTCCTTCGTCGTAAGTCATCGCCAAAACCGACAAAATATCTGCTAAAAAGAGCTGCAATGAAATATATAAATATTAATGTATAATGTGATAAATAGCACTATATATGTGTAATTAATAAATGTTATTTTACCTTGTTGTCAGATTCAGGCCAACTCTCATAAATTTCAGCTACAGTAGCATAATGAGGTCTCAAAAACTTTAATGGTTTCGGAACCGAGGTCATCGAGCTGGTAGACGTTCGAATTAGGGTACGAAGACTTTCTAGAGCCGGTCTGTGAAGATTAACATCGTCCTCCTATAATTTTCAAATCAATGTAAATCATTCAGTAACGGATAGATTAATAAATCATTAAAAAAAAAATTTTTTCTTAGACTCCACCTTCAATCGTTCCACTAACATTTCTAGTTCATTCTTAAGCTGGAGATCTTCTTCAGACTGAAAACGTGAAATAATGATGTCAATGCATGCATATTTAGAATGATGATATCTCAACAGAATTCGTTCCCAACGACGTTTCTTGCGACGACGAGCCGTTATCGTGTTTTATCACGCGCTGTTCAGAGTTGCAGCCAAGTTTGTAACTTCGATCAATGCGATATGGAATTTAGGCGTCGTCTTTATAAGATTAATGGTATAAAAAGCATACCAATTCTTCAAATTCGTCTTTTTTTTCTTTGTCGCCATCCGCTTTTATATCGCTCTCTTCTTTTGCTTTCTGTTTGTCTTTACTCGAAGTATCCTCGGCGGGTACGACATTTTTCACAGTTTCTCGAGCCATACTTCGAAAGCGGTTTCAAGTTTAAATTTTGTAAGGCAATCTCAAGGTGAATTTGAATTTAGTTTTTATCAGTCCGAGAAGCATACGTACGTATGTTAAATACGTATGCCCAAAGTGGTATACGTAAGCATCAGCATCTTGATCTGTACTTCGATGATCTCGTGTAACTGGTCTATAAAATCTTAAAATTTTTGAAAAAAATTTGTTCTTCCTCTTCGCCGTTGGCTTTGTATTAAATTGCTAACAATGGTACGTTATCATAAAGACTAAAATATGATCGTAACCATGTGATCCTTTCTAAAATTTTAATTCACTTTTGGTGGTTGAGTTTTTTTTCAATTTTTTTAAAAAATTCACAAGAATGGGTGTTTATACCAAGTTTATAACAATGCATATATACCATCCGTTAAATTAGATAAAAACTTCTTAAAATCATTATTAGGATTTTAAACCAAGATTTACTATAATTTTTTTTTTTCGATCAATGTATCCTTGTTCATTCATTCACTATCATATTCTATCGATCCACTTTTTTTCCATTGTAAAAAAAAAAAATGAAATTTCAAAAAGTTATTGTTAATATAATTTCCGATTTTGTTTCATAGGCTCGTGGACCGAAGAAACATTTGAAACGGCTTAGTGCCCCAAGTCATTGGATGTTGGATAAACTTACGGGAACTTATGTATGTGATATAATTTATTAAAAATTTCTTTGTGAACATAATATTGGACTTTTTAAATAATGAAATAATAAATGAAAGGCTCCAAGACCATCAGCCGGACCTCATAAGCTTCGTGAATGTTTACCTCTTGTTATTTTCTTGAGAAACCGTCTTAAATATGCCCTTACCAAAAAGGAAGTACAAAGCATTTTAATGCAACGTCTCGTAAAGGTAGACGGCAAAGTCCGTACTGATACCACTTACCCTGCCGGATTTATGGGTATAATTTATTATTTTTTAAAATAACACGGATATTTAAAATCTTCAATTCTAATTAATTTTGATTGTTAATTTATGAATATAAAAGATGTTATATCCATAGAAAAAACCGGTGAAAACTTCCGTCTTATTTATGATACTAAGGGTCGGTTCACTATCCATAAAATAACTGCTGATGAGGCTACTTATAAATTGGCCAAGGTTAAAAAGGTTCAGTTTGGTGCTAAAGGAATCCCATATCTTGTAACCCATGATGGCCGTACAATCCGTTATCCTGATCCTATTATCAAAGTTAATGATACTGTTAGACTTGATTTAGAAACTGGCAAGATCATTGAGCATATCAAATTCGAAGGTAGGTTACACATAGCATACATAATTACATTATAAATTAAATACACTAATTTATTAAAAAAAATTTTAGTCGGAAACATTGTTATGATCACGGGCGGTCGTAACATGGTAAAATGAATGAATGATATGCGTGTAAATTTATTACATTTTAAATCAATTCTCATATATTTTAAAAAAAAATATAGGGACGTGTTGGAATAGTAACTCATCGTGAGCGACATATTGGAGGTTTCGGTATGCAGTTTTTAACAGTTTACAATATTGTAAATTTTATACATTATTGATGATTTATCATCATTATTAGACATTATCCATGTTAAGGATGCCATGGATAGGCAATTCGCTACACGGTTAACTAATGTCTTTATTATTGGTGAGAGTAACAAGCCTTCGATCTCATTGCCAAAGGGTAAAGGTGTCAAACTGACTATCTCTGAAGAACGTGACAGGTCAGTATTTAATGAAATAAATCAAAAAGGATATTAATTCTTTACTCACATTTTTTAATATATATATATATATATATAGGCGTCGAGCTAGAGCCGCTCATCAGTAGGGTCGGTCCAAACCTTGTGAATTATGACTACATAATTTGAGAATTGGGGTATCTACTTCATTTGGGATAATCATAACCCAAGTACTTATCCCATTTTCGGACATAGCGTTAAATTCAAAAAAAAAAAAAAACCCCCAATCAAATTTGTTAAATCAATGCTATAAATTATTAAACTTCAGAAAATTAAGAACCTGAGAGTGATTTGGCTACTAGGCAGGATATGTTGAATAAAAATGATATTAGATTTAATAATTATATCGAATATGTAACGAATTAGTGAAAAATAATTTTAAAAGTGAAAGCTTTTCACATCCAAAATAAAATTTCGAATCATAAAATAATAAAACCTTTAATAAAGCTACAGTACACAGTCCTCCATCCTCTATGGTTGAAACCGTAATTTTGAATAAATGAATTACCTGTGATGAGTGCACAAGCGTGATGCCAATATTGTCACTAATTATTTTCGTATGATTATTTAACATCACATCTCGCCTTATTACAAGTTTTTGAACTCCGGGTCGGAATGCATCGGAACCCGGATGGGCCAGAGTTGATCAAAATTTTAAGTGTTCATTACAGTGTCCGACAAAAGTTTCCCCGCATCTATATTTCTTCATAGAGAGGTGCTACGACCTTTAAATTTTCCGGAATGTTAGTACATACATAGATTAGATAGTGTATTTGTTTTGAAGTTTTTTTAATCACTAGAAAAAGTTTAGATAAGGGCTAAAGTTGGAACAATTTTTTTTAAAAAAATATAAAAATTAATTGAATTCAAAGAAAAATTAATATTTTGTCAAAGCTTAAAGCTAATATTCTAAAAATTAGTATATTAAAATTCAATTATTTCTGTAATAGTGATAAAAAATTTGGCTCAATTTGATGAGATAATTGTTGAGAAATTAATTTTTAAATTTCGAGATTCATTTTTAAAAATTACAAAGTAAAAGTTTTTTCAATCAAAACTATCTCAATATCTAGTGATCCAAATTCAATGATCTTAGTATCATTCAAATCGTCTCAATAAAACAATTCGAATGATATCAAAATCATCAAATTTGGACTGTCATATTATGAGATATTCATAAAAACCATTTTGCAACACAAAAAGAATTAGGTATTGGCAAATTTAACATGATAAAAATAAAACGCAAAACTTTAAAAATTAATTTCTCATCAAACTGAGTCAAATTTTTTGTCACTACTACAGAAATCATTGAATTTTAATATACTAATTTTTAATTTAAATATATATATTTCTTTGAATTCAATTAATTTTTATATTTTTTTTGAACAATAAACATCCCAACTTTAGCTCTCATCTAAACTTTTTTCTAGTAATTAAAAAAGCTTCAAAACAAATACACAATCTAAACTATGTATGTACTAATATTCCGGAAAGTTTTAAGGTCATAGCACCTCTCTACAGGGATGGTAAATGACTTGAAATGACCCAAATGACTAGTGACTAGTCGTTAGGTTATTTCACATTCAAATGACCATAGAAGGTCATTTAACATTTGTTAACTGATAGTCTAACGCCTTTTGGTCAATCAAATTTGATCATTAGATATACCGTAATTTTTATAAAATATTATCGATAATCGTAGCTACATATAAAAGTCAAAGTTTACTAAGTTAATCGATATTTTAATCGATCTAAGTTTCTCCTAAACAACTTTACTGAAGATGTTATCCTAGTAAAATTTTGACTTTGTGTGTAGCTACGATCATTGATTAGTAATTACAGCGGTTGATAACTTTTTATATTACGTAGCTATCTGACCAATAAAATTACTTCATATGTAAATGACCTAAATGACCTAATGACCCAAATGACCAGGTCATTTCATTTACTCAAATGACTCGGTCATTTAAATTTTGAGTAAATGACCTGGTCATTTACCATCCCTGCCTCTCTATGAGAAAGTATAGGTACGGGAAAATAAAAAGTGCCCAGCTAATAATTTTACAATAGCTCCTGCTAACCAACATAGCTAACCCTAACCTAACTCTGATGCATTTCGACCCGGAAATTTGGGGATCCTCCTATAAAAATAAATTTTTGTAGACCAAAATTCTGGGTCGGAATGGATAAATTGTGCCTAAAAATTGCTCAAAATTTTGCTAATAAACCAGTAACCCACGTACTGCTACAATATAGTTGGGTGTATTATTGCTTAATGCCGGCCATTCTGAGCTCAAAATTTGGCCGATCTACCGAATTTTGCTAATCTTCCATTGATTGTCTAGTTTTTCTGACCATTTCTCATATTATAAACAAGAATCGACTAAGTCAAAATGCCAAATCGACTACGATCACTAATTGGTCGATGGACTAATAACTAGGTACTTTTGTTGGATCATCGACTAACATCCAATAATTATAATCTAATTGATTAAACAAAATTTTCATTATACGTACGTACAGTACAGTATTTTAAAACTTACATATAAAAATTGAAGTGTAATAACTTATTTGACTACTAAATAATTACACTAAAAGAACATATATATTTTATAATTGCGAAGTAAATTAAACTATAATTTAGACTTCTGATTACAAATTTATTAAATGACAAAAAAGAAAAAGTTGGCACTTTTCAATTGCGTTACATTCAGTTATGACGTATTCATAATAAATAATTATCACATCATTGTATCTAAAGTCCTTTGCATAGTGATTTTTATGTAACTTTTTTTCACTATTTGCATTTCATTTTCTGTATACATTGAACCATTCGCATTTACAACCATTCGATTTCAATTTTTATATATACATCGATTTTTTCTACCATTCACATTCCAATTTCTATATACATAAATTACAAAAACTTTTTCTACCATTCGCATTTCAATACTCATAAACTTTCAAAAAAAATGCCCCCACCATATCCATCATTCAAATTACCGGCTTCGTTACTTCCGATTACTACCATAAATCCAGCAATGCGACCAAAACGTTATTCTAATGTGTGTGAAGCCAAAAAAGCTGGTTCGATTGATTATATTCAAGTAAGATCAACAAGATATAAAGTTTACTCATTATTTGAAAAAATGGGTGGAAGTATTATGTTATCAGAGATACCACAGCTTTATTTGGAAGAATATAATAGAGCGTTGGAATATCAAGGAAAATTGGTACGTACGCTCTTTAATTTAAAGTAATTTTGAAATAAAGAGAAATCTAATTTAACTCGTATTTGTTTTATTAAAGTCTTATGCTATAGAAAATGAATTCCCGGGGGTTTATGAATTTATTCAAGCCCTTCCGGGGAACCAAACAGTAGTTATTTTTAAAGCAATTTGGGAAAATGTTAAATCAGACGTAATTAAAGCCCAAAAATGCGACACTTCAAATGTAGCCGCACAAGATCTATCCTTAGATCATAAAACGCGTAAAGATAAAAAACATTCACACGATGTGATACATTCTGAAAATGACAGAGGGAGCCGTAGAAACAACGATAAAAAACGAAAGGATACTTCTCCAACTCACACAATATCGAAAAGTATGAGAAAAAGTGAAGAGACAAAATCCATAAGGTCATCATCACCAAGCGAATTTAGCATTAAGCGAATATTTGATGACAAAGATTTTTTAAAAATAACGGAACTTCAACGGGATGTTTTGGAGCTTTTATTTTTTTATTAATATTTTGGGGGATTTATTTAGTCTTTGATTTTTAATGTAGTTATAAGGAAATTAATTACTTTGCTTTGCAGTGTTTTAGATTAGCATTAGATAAAATAGATATTTGGAATCTTTATTATTTGTATATATAGTATATAGATATATATATTATTTGTTTGAGGCTGTTTTTTCCAAATGTATATTTGTGTATAAAATTAGTTAATAAATGTGAACAAGGATGGATGATGTAAATAAAAATGTCAATAATTGCATTAAAAAATTTCAGTATATGCTCCAATTTCTGAAATTGATAATAACTTTTGATCCACTAATCCATTTTGTATGATTTAACTACCAAAATGCTCGTCTCAATGAGTTGATTCTAACAAGTCCAAAATCGTTAAAATCCAATCACAGGTTCCCAAGATCGTTCAACTTTTGTGTAATTTTAATAATAGTGATTTTTAGGAATTACTAAGTAAATTTAACATCGAATAACTTTTGATCTATTGGCCCGTTTTAGATGATTTAACTACCAAAATGGTCATCTCAGTGAGACGATTTTAACAAGCCCCAAATCACCAAATTCCAATCACAGAATCCCAAGATCGATAAAGATTTATATTATTAAATAATTATTTAATCAAATTGGTTTTATATATAAAAACCAATTTGATTAAATAATTGTCTAACAATACAAATCTTGGAATTTTGTAATTGGAATTTGGCGATTTGGGGCTTGTTAGAATCTTCTCACTGAGATGACCATTTTGGTAGTTAAATCATCTAAAACGGGCCAGTAGATCAAAAGTTATTCGATGTTAAATTTACTTAGTAATTCTAAAAATCACTATTAAAATTACACAAAAGTTGAACGATCTTGGAACCCTGTGATTGGATTTTAATGATTTTGGGCTTGTTAGATTTGTCTCATTAAGATGAGCATTTTGGTATTAAATCATATAAAATGAAACAGTAGATCAAAAATTATTATCAATTCCAGAAATTGGTGTATATGGTTTAAATCTAATGAAGTAATCAAGTGTATTCCTTTTAATAGATTAGATGCATACAGTACAGGGCCAATGATTTTCTGTGATTCACAGAAAACAGCAGAATTTTTCTTAATCACAGCCAACCACAGAAATCACCCTTAGTCACCACAGAATATCACAGAATTCACAGAATTTCAAAAAATATACAAAATATCACAAAATTCATAAATATATCACAGGATCTGACCATAAATTCAAGCCAACATTGGGAAATGCCATAAAGATAGACAATAAATCAATGTAAATTACAAGCATGTTCACCAGAATTAGTTGTTTTGAAAAAATTTGCTGGCCAGGTCTATTTAAAAGTTTCATGTTATTTAAAATTTTTTTACTAAATTTGGTTAGGTTTTTGTTAAGTTATTCTTGTTTACGTATTAAAAAATATTTGCTTGGTTTTTATTGACTCAACTCCATATAATACAATATAATTAATTCGTGGTCCGCCTAAGAACCAGTAACAAAACATAGTAAAAAATAGTGATATTTATTATTTTCTTTGGAATCTGGAGTTTCCCAAAGAAAAACTTTTTCTTTACTAAATAAACCTCCTTTCAACTTCTAAGTAAAGTTGTATAGGAGTGTCTTGCGATCAGAATGGCAGTTAACCCGTTAAAATCGGTCCAGTGGATCACGAGATATAAGTATTCTAGCCTCCGCAACTACTGTATATGTTTTCTTTATTTATACAGTATAAAGAAGAATACATATAGTCGCGAAGGCTAGAATATTTATATCTCGCGATACACTGGGCTGTCTTAACGTTTTAACCGCCATTATAATCGCAAGACACTCCTCTACAACTTTACTTAGAAGTTAAAAAGAGATTTATTTAGTAAGGAAAAAAGTTTTCTTTGGGAAACTCCAGATTCCATAGACAATAAAAAATATATAGTAAACATATCTCCACTGTTTACTATGTTTTGTCAGGATCACGAATTAATTATTAACGCAGTATAGAAAACAATTAATTATTTAACGTAGTATACGTAGAAAACAAGAAGTGGTATAGTTTTTTAATTTATGACATATGCTAGGGTATCATTCCCAATTGGAACTCTTTCGCAAAGCAATTGAACTAAAAAAAGAGAATTATACAGTAACATTCCTAGTAAATTAACAGAAATCTATAAAAGTAAAAGCTAATTACTATTTGAAAGAGCATAAAATTGGCATCAATATATATATTATTATTTTATTATATACTGTATATACAGTACATTAAAATATATATATATCGATAGTGTATCGTTACGGTTTTAAAATTTAAGAAGGATTATGTAAAGCTGATGTGACGTAATAGCACAAAGCCACTGATGGAACAGTATATAAAAAGTTATTTTTTAAATAAAAAAAAAAGTTATTATAGTAATAATAATAATAATAATAATAATAATAATAATAATAATAATATATATAGTAATAATAACGATAAAAGGTTCAATTCCAATATATACGTATCATTAATATTTAACGTTAAGCCTCATTTTATATATAGGCTATACTATAGCATTCCAATCCAGTACAACAATATCGAAATTAGCAAAAAAGAATGAAGCTTTGTTGGAAAAGCGTATCATTACCGTATGCCACTGCTGGATGTCTTATTCAAGAATTCCATTTTTAATATTGAATAGTACCCGTGGGTACTGTGTAAAGAACCGGGTACTATAACTGGAGGATATATCATATTAAAAGTAGTAAATCAATATAGTTATACCCCGGGTCTTATTCAAGAAACAGGTTGGTAGTGATGGTGAGTGATACCCGGGTCTTAATCATGGGGTATTATTTTTTGGGGGTACTGTAAGCAATAACATATGGTAATGTTGGCTAACCGTCTATCATTTGGTTATCTGATTATGGTTAAACGGTTCAAGTCACTAGAACTTAGTTTTTAACAAGAAACCTCTTTTTGTCTCTGACTTGACTAGATGATTATTCTTATATGGAATGAGTCTCAAACCTAATTCTTACTAAATTAAATGTCAAATTTGACATCACATTTTGCGAAACCTAGTTGGATTCAACCTAATCCCAATTTAGTAAGTTTGGATCGCAACTACAAAACTCATTTGTGATAGAAATGGATATTTGATAATCATATATCTGAGTATCAAAAACGCGCGTTCATTTCATATGAAAATAAATCTCTAATTTCGTAAGAGCAATAAACCAAAAAATTAGCATCAGATCCTTTTTCTTCAACTCGTTTTTTTTTTTTGATCCGATTAATTTGAAATTATTCAGCTCTTTCTATACATAATATGACAGATCATTTCATTAACTGACATTCAACTTTAAAAAAATATGTATAAATTACTTAAAAGAACAGTTCCAAGTTTTATAACAAAAGGATACTCGTCATTCGTGTAAGGAGATGAAAAAAGCAATTTACAAAAGTTTTATGATACAAAAAAAAAAAAAAAAAAAAAAAAAAATGCGAGATTTTGGAAAAAAATAAAATGTTCTTTAATATGGTAATGAGTTTCTTATTGTCATAATCGAGCATTAATATTATTATTCTAAGTTGAAGCATTTACGAATAATGAGTGAATCAATGAAGTTGTATACAGTAATTATAAAGGTCAATCATCTTCTTCATCATCCTCTTCTTCAGACGTTACATCATAATCTTCTTCCATATCCTCATCGACATCTTCACCGTCCGAAGCGTACCAAAAATTCTCATCGTGTTCGTCATCAATTTGACGTTTATAAACAACAAAATCATCGGCTACGAAATATCAAAAGAAGGTCAAATAAAATCCCATCATATTAATTAAATCAAGTGAGAATGAGTTCTTACTGCTGGTAGGTATCTTTAATCCTTCAGGAATATCTTTCTTTGAATTCTCTACTTGAGCTATTTTTTCGAGTCAAATATAATGAGTAATATGGTTATTACGTAATCAGTGAGAACATATATATATTTTTTACTTACATCTGACAATAGAATTGTAAGACTCCCGATCTTTACGATACATAACCTAAGAAGAATTATCATAATGTTATTGATAATAGTAATATTTATTCAAGACATATTCTATGGTAAAAAACTTACACCAGCATCCTAAGAAATAAATCATCCAAACGTTAAAAATAGTTTAAAATATTGACAAATGCCATGTTTAAAAATTCATTCACATACCACATTAGCGGGACTAGAACAATTTGGATCACCCATAAGACTGACAATGCTGATCAAAATACCTAAAACAACAACGCGATTAGTATCTTAATATAAAACAGCTTAACTTAAAAAGGAAAGTCAAGTATAATGCTAACTTTCAACACTTTGAGTTGGATTCCAACGTTCCTATATTCAAAGGGATAATAGCTATTTTAGAACTTAATTATCAAAATAATATCAAAACCAAAAAAGCACATTATAAACAAACCGCAGCTGTCTCACCACTGGTGGGATCGTCGCCAGGTGGATGAAGAATAGAAATACAAAGGCGACCATCTGGGTAGACTATAAATGCATTTAAATCATGGGTTACGCAAAAGATTATCCGCTGATCGAAGCAATAATGAATATTTCGTTTTTTTTTACCATTTGGATGAAAGAATTCATTGTTAAATTTGAACGTTGGTGGATTATACGGATAGTCATTTGGAAACTTGAGAGTAGCCTTTTATTTATGATAAAAATATATAAAAAAAAATGTTATCAACTGTTAAATTTGGAAAAGTTTGAGCATCACGTGATACAAACTCGGTACCTTGAAATAACCGCCTTCGTAAATCGTACTCGGAGCACCTATGATGCCTACATCCCTGTACAGACAGGTATATAATAATATTAGTAAGAACTATTAAATAAGAACGTACAAATATTGAAATCAGCGGGATTACCATTCAAACACGTTGCCGTCGTTCGGTAGGGCAACCGTGAAACCAGGTACGGGATTACTTGTTAGCTCTACACGTCAAGAATCAAACAAGGTTTTTTTTTTAAATATAATCTCGAAATCTATATCAAACTTATTAAAGCGACTTTCGTCGTGTATATGTAAAAAGGAGAGAATAGTGCACCTTTAAACTGTTTCAGCAAGATGTTTGCAGCACTAGACATTGTAAACGTTCTATATCTTAAAACAACAAATAAAAAGATTTACAAAGTTCACTTCTTGACGATGGGTAAATTAGAAATCGCAATTCGATTTTAGAAATATTTTTGGTATAATAATTTTTTTTTTAAGAAGTTATAAATTACACAACCGGGTTGAGAACAGATAGGAACTTTTTTTTTTTATTGTTCTTATACACGTGACTATATGTGTTACGATAATATGGATTCTAAGAAAACGCAGAAACACAACACAAAGTTCTTGCAGTTCCTTATAAAATATTCAAGTATAAAGTGGTGTAATGTTACACACCTTAACCCCGTTAATTATTCTCCATATAGCCATATAGGAAAAAAAAATAATGGAATATAGACACCGATGCACACCAATACACATAGATACACGTAGATACTTAAGATACGTTGTAATTCTTTTTTTTTGGTTATGCATCTTTTCAATTAGAAACCATATCTTGCATTGAGTTATATTATTAGGAATTACGACAATTCAAGTGACAAAATAATGATTCGATAACATATTGTATTAAAAGAATTACTTTTTATACATCTTAACTATCGCATGTATAATTATGAATCACATAATATCGTGCATACAATTTGATCTTACATATTAATCTCTCAATATTTTAATATCATTTATATAATTCAAATATCATTTAATATCACTCAATATAAATTAAACACTAAGATTTTATTATCGAAGATACAAGTACATACATACATACGAACTTTTAACAAAGTAACAATGACAAACAATTTCAAATAATGTATCAAATAAAGCAAAATGATAGACAAAGCAAATTACCTTTTATGAAAGCATGTAATAATGGACAATGTCTGTAATAACTTAACAAAAATGTATATTTTCCTTGTTAAATGCGTACAATAGCCTAAAAAAAGAGAAAGTTATAAATAGAATAAACAGATTATATGAATGCTACCAAAAAAAATTATGAACATGCTTTAAAAAATCATCAACATCCAATTTTGCAGCCCTTGAATCAGCAAAACCAACAGATTTAAGAACACTCATCACTTTTTCTTTTATGCTAAAATTCGATTCAATCATCTGATTTATTTTTAGATAAAATAGATTAAATAATTTGTTTATAAAGATTTTACAAATTTACACAGAAATAATTTAATGATCACCATTTCATTTGCGGAACAAAACGTTTTATAATTATTTTCGATTATATCTAACACTGAAGTCGTCTTGAAATTTGCAGCAAGTGTCTAAGGGAATTTCGGATGTAATTATTGGATAAGTTACAAGATGGTCTATAATAAGTTATATGCTATAAGATAGGGTTAACAAACCTTGTTCTTTCTAACAAACACTATCCGCATCAAACCATCCCATTCTTTGAAATCAATTGGTGGCGGTGGATTACGTGGCTCGATTCGAACCACCGATGAGTCAACTTGTGGAGGAGGTTTAAAATTATTTTTTCCAATCTTGAGATATTTAAAATGTTAATATAACATCAAAAAGCGAACATAATAAATGTCATAGATCAAAACGATAAAATGAAATTGGGGTCTCTATTTAACTACTGAAACGCGTAATTTTCATAATAAATTAGATAGCATTCCATTTTTGATCTAATTTCATTTTAATCTGTCGCAATAAATTTAATTGTATCTAAAATTTAATTTCTACCTTCATTATGTGATCCACTTTAGCGTATAACTGGGTGTTCACGCTTAATCGACAGTATAAATCATCACCCGGTTTGGCAATTAAGCGTAAAGCAAATTCGCGTTGAAACATCAATACAGCACATCTAAACAACGGTCGATGTGCGAGAAGTTTAAAGATAAGAGGTGATGATATCTATATTACAATTAAATGAAATGTTATTATTTGTCAAAGTATTGCAGAAGAAATCCATCATTACCAACCTGATACGGTGTGTTACTTATGCAGACATCAAAAAATGGAAGATCCGTTTTTATAACGTCACCCACCATTATATCTAAACGTCGTTGTTCCGGCCTGGACAAAGAATAACAATGACGATAAAAGAACGAAATGTATATTTAGGAAACAATATTTTAAGATATAATGTATGCTTAAGAAATAATATATATATTGAAGAGATAATGTATGTTTGATTTCGTACTTTCCCTGGACACGCTTCGCCAATTCGGCAGCCAATCGCGGATCCAATTCGACCGCCACAACCTTTTTTGCACGTTCTAGAATTCTCGTAGTAAGATTACCTGTGCCCGGACCTACCTCGAGAACGACGTCCGTGCATTTCAAACCAGCCTTTTTTATGATATCCAAGTTTGGTCAAAAAAATATTTTAATAAACATATTCACGAGCTCAAGACAAACCGCAACCTTTTCAACGATATTTTGAGCAATAAGGGGATTTTTCAGAATGTGCTGGCCCAATTCTTTTTTGAACAAGGGAGCCATGGCCCTAGCGGTGGAAGCTGAGGCTGCCGATGAACTCGCATTTTTAGCACGATCGTATCCAAACTTTTTTGATTTAACCTTGGGCATAATAGTATAACGATAGAGATATAGTAATAGCGATAGCGATTAGCGATTAGATGGCACAACTTTTTTTTTTTTTTTAATCAGCCAATTAGAGTTCATCCAATCAAAAATTGATCCATTTTTAATTACGAATATTAAATATACTCCACCCACGACTCCACGATTCCACGAGAACAACACTTAATTTAGAAACAAACGTAAAAGTAAAGTGCTGTACACAATGTTTCGTAATACTTTCCAGGTATATATATTAAGATTTACTTGCTTCTAGTTAGAATTTTGGAGTCTAATTTGACCTTTAACAATCTAACGTCAACAGTCAGGATTTCTTTCGATTTTATACAGCATTGGGTAAGACACATTTTGAAAATAGTTAATTATAATAGTTGAATTTTAATTTAAGTACGACAGTTTTAATACAAGGTTAAATTATTTCAAATATTATTTAGTAACAAGCCTTTACAAATATGGCATACCGAGACAGATTCTAAACATGAAGAAAGTCATGTTTCTCGAGTCACAGATGAAGACATACATTCTGTAGTCATAGAAGTAGTCTCACCGAATGTTGCTACGACTTACATAACGTGCCCAGCGCAATTGAATAGATCCCTTGGGATCAAACTTCCGATTCTCGTTCTTATTGTAAAAAATTTGAAAAAATATTTCACGTTCGAGGTCCAAATAATGGACGATAAAAATGTGAAAAGACGATTCAGGGCATCAAATTTTCAAGTAAGGACGTAGGGCCCCTATAATATACATAACAATATTATATCACTTAAAAAGAATTGCAATTTTTCCTCATGTACCTTTAGGCAGTAACTCGAGTCAAACCATACATTTGTACCATGCCTATGCGATTAGATGAAGGATGGAATCAAGTTCAGTTTAATCTTGCAGATTTCACTCGACGAGCTTACAGTACAAATTATGTTGAAACTTTAAGAGTACAAATACATGCAAATTGTAGGTTAAGAAGAATATATTTTGCGGATAGAGTTTACGCCGAAGAAGAATTACCACCAGAGATGAAACTTTGGTTGCCGGTAGATAGACAACATGAATAATTGATAAAGATGAAATTACAATAAAATTTGCTTTCATGATCTATAGTATATTTACAAAGATAATAATATAGTTAATAATAAAATAAATCGCGTGATAATATATGGATTACTTTGCCGGCCTACATGTGACTTCGGATACTGATCGCCAGATAAAATATAAAAATAGCTTTCGTTTTTTTTTAATAAATATGATAATAATAAAATTAATAAATACATAATTAATATTCATAATTTTGAACATTGTATTTTAAAATTCATACGTAGAATATTAAAATGTTTTTTATACATAATTAATCTATTTTAATATATATATACAATATATATACCAATTAATTAATTTCACGACTAAATGGGATTTAAATAATTACCAGTTAAATTAATACAGGCAACAAATTTATGAATTCACGAATCTTAAATGCATTGGTTACGATCTTTACAGCTTTATATGCAATTAACTAATTTAATACAAATAAAAAAAACAAATAAATAAATATAAGAGTAGCATTATGTAATTATTGTTATTGTTATTGTTAAAAGTTCTTTATGCTCACCAGCTACAGCAAAATAACATAAGTAAATAAGAGGCAGAGTATGAATATTCATGAGCTTAAATAGTTTAGTTAAATCGATTAAGATCTTTTAAATTAATGGGAAATAGATAATATTTAGAATCGATTCTCATCACAAAATCGATTCTGAGAACCTATTTCTTAAAAAAAAAAATACATAAATTATGTTCACTTTAGGTTAGTTAATAGTAATTTCCTAATATTACATAAACGCTTTAGCTTCCTTAATACTGTTTAATTTATATTATTTATTACAATTTTTTTAAAGAATTGATTAATCAATTCTCAGATTTAGAATCGTTTCTTGATAAAAAGATTCGAAATTCAACTTTAAAGGATGAGTAGCATTATGTAATCATAGTTATTTTAAATGATTTATTAATAATTATTATTAAATACAGTATATAGTTCTTTATACTTATCTGCAAATTAACGGAATAAATGATAGGATTAGTGATAACTATTCATGAATTCGAATAGCTTACTTTACAACATACATTATTATATAGTTAGGTAATTTTAAGGATTTTGCTAACTTGCCAATGCCCCTGATTAACATACCACCCTCTTATTATAACTCAAAAAAATCACTAAGTAAAAATATTTGGCACTACAAAACCCTATTCTGGCTTTAACTTTAACCTTAACTCTAATCCTAACACTATTTTAATGTTATTTCTAATTTTAATTTTAAAATTTGAGTAAAAATTATTAATTATGGGTAAAAATTTATAATTTTTAAAATTAGTTAAATTCATATTTTAAATATAAATTAACACGAATAGATATAATAATAAGTATATTTATAAAGACCTTTATACTCACTAGCTAAATTAACGCGAACTCAATTGTTGCGAATAAAATTAAAACGAGTAAATATGTGACATTAAGTAATTATACACAATTTAATAATTAATCATCGTGCTTTGTTCAAAAATATGATACTTCTTTATGCCAAATATATAGTTTAGAATTAATTTTAAGTTCATTCAAAATTCTTTAATGATTTAAGTAAATTTAAATTTTATTTCAACTTAAACATACTAGAATTAACATTTTTGTAAATTCAAATAGCAAATACTTTGTCAGTCCAGACCAGTCTAGACTAGTTCGGTCTTAAGACTTTTAGACCGGTTTTAAGACTAACGTTGGCTATTGTCTACACCACCTGGGGTCTTATTCAAAAACTACATTTTTAATTTGGATAGTACTGTACGAAGAACCGGGCACTATATTTGGGAAATATATCATACAGTATTAAAAGTAGTAAATCAATATGGCTATTCCAAGTTACTATATGATCGCATGACAGGATTTTACAACTTATAATCATCACTTTGATCGGTAAAAAAACCGAAGCTTCTAGCAACACTTGTTATTTCCGGGGAAATAACAAGCATTGCTAGAAACTCGGTCTGTTTACCAATCAAAGTAGCGATTGGTAATGGACTGTGATGGGTGTCAATGGATATTGTCCATTGGCATTTGCTAAGCCACATTTTGGTCTATTGGCCAACCTAGATTATGAGCCGTAAAGCGAGTTATGAAATCCTATGAAACAAAGAATAACATACTTATTTCATCGCTACGGGGAAATAATCCGGTAGACCTCAAGCCTGCTGAACCAGAGATCTACTTATTTTCGCCGAAGCGGGAAATAAATAGTATTTAAGCATGATAAACATAATTTATTGGCAATCAGTTTTTGAACCACCAAAAATTTGGCTGCCGTATTGTCGCAAAATAACGCCACCTGCGCGTCATTTAGATGAGTACGCGCGTTATTAGACACAAAAATAAACCCCGCCCTAAACTTACTAACTATTTTGTCAAACCTTAATATGAATGCACGCCATTTCGGGACGCGCATGTGGCGTTATTTTAAAACCATTCATGCTATTTTTAGGGACACAATTTCCTAAATAATACCCGTGCCCATTATTTCGCGACTATTTTTTCCAGGAGGCACTTTGTAAACTATTTTTCTGTCGTGAATAATCTACATATTAGAGTTGATGCTATTAATTGGTTATCAAGATCACACCACGTGGAGGTAATCCTTTGAATATATCGTGTGATGTTCATAAATTACTAGCGCACGTACAGTGACTCAAAAAAGTATCGCGTGGCGTTCATAAACAACTAACACACGCGCATTGATCCTCATGAAAAGAAAAAATAATTAGGAAACGTGCTATGTGTATTGACTCAAGTTTAAACTCACCTTGCAGGCAATATCAATTCTTCGCAAACTTTTTACTATAAAGGGAAGAAACATGACTTCAGAATCAGTAGACCCTAAACAAGAGAAAACGAATATCTTGAATATCATTTACTCGGGAGTGAGCCGATGATTTTTGGTTTAGGTTAACAACCGTCAAACTAGAGATGCGTTCACAAAATTTAAAACTGACGAATATCCGGATCGCATCTCTGTTAAACTATTCATTCAGATCACGCTGCGAGGCATGCCTTATGAATTCACATATTTTCTATTATTTAATTATCATAATTTACCCAACATATCAGCATTGCACGTGTTCTTCTAAAGATAATAACAACGTAAGTCTTCTTGAAAGAATCCCAACCTGTAGTTTAATCTCTTCAAAGAATAATGTTATAACTAGTGGCGATATATGTATTACCTCTCAAAACCATAATTATTCTTATCATCGATTCTTTATCTTACATAATCAACAATACTCGCAAGAGATAGAGACAAAGCTCTCAAAATAATAAAAAAGTTTATAATACGCCACCTTCAAATGCTGAGAAAAACAAACACGAAAATTCAAACACGCCTACCTATTTGTCAAATTTATATTGGTATTTATGTCGATCAAAATGAGTTGATTGACCAATCATATCACATAAATTTTGTTAGAGCCGGTGAAACGCGAAACTTGCATAATACTGTATTGTGTTATCACTTATTAATTATCAATATACTAAAGACGACAATAATACGTATAATAATAGAAACTAATGCAAAATACTGTATGTAACTAGTTGATATTTTTAAAAACTGGTGCATGCAGTACATAGTGTGGACTTACATGGCGTCCCCAGAAAAAATGGTAGCTGGAGTGCTTGTTGGCTTACATGTGACTTCGAAAACCAATTGCCTGTAAAATTATATAGTCAACTCTATTTATTTCCGAACAGTCCGTTCTTATATGATATATATGATATATATGATATATATGATATGTAAAATTGAACAAAAAATTTAGTTCTCAAATAGGTATTATATTGCTTATCCGAACTTTATAATAAATTTATAAATGCTATATAGGAGTTTTACATTCAGTTCTCAGAGAATTTATTAAGGTTCAGATTAGAGAGGTTTGGAGGATTGGATTAGAGAGGCGACTGTATTTATATTATTTATAATATTTATAATGCTTATAATGTTTATAATGTTTATAATGTTTAATAAAATGATTGGCGTTAATTTTTAACTTTAACTACTTCGCATTGACATTCCTGCATTCATTTTTTATTGAATAAAAAATTTTCCAGCAATATCAGATATGTATACAAAATCACACGTAAACCGGCAAAATAACAGATAATCCAGCAGTTATTTTTTCCGGGTGACGCTAGAATAGTTCGGGACCCTTACCAATAACATCTATTTTAGTATTTTTTAATAATCAAATGAAATTAGCCGTTATCGTAATGTATGAATGGGATCACTTACATAGAAATATTTTAAATAATAATATATTGTGCATGATTTGACAACCTATTTTTAAATCATATGTCCAAAGAAACACCAAAGAGACAACTGAAGGAGGTTATGAATTTCCAAATTTTAATTTTGATTCAAAATAGGTAAACCCTGATATATACAGTTAAAATAAACATTTCATTCAAGTACAGAAATATTGGCAAAATAATTAAGTAGACGTACAGTACGTACGGCCGAATTACGTTAAACTAAAAAATTTTACATGCTACGTACTGTATATGCCGAATATCACAAAAGAAACTAAAAAGCATTGTAGATTACGTGAACATGAAGCGAGAAAAAAGTTACGCATGTTTTTTTTTTTCTTATTACATCCTAATAATAATAATTTTTTAGGAATAACTCGTGAGCATTATTAGAAAAAAAAGCCAACTTGCGTTTCATAGTTCACATTATTCATTATTTATTTATTATTACATGCAGATAAAAAAAAAAAAATTTTCAAAAATTAAAAAAAATCAAAAAAATCAAAAAAAAAAAGTAAAATAAAATAGAGAAAATGGATAATTTTTCATTGTCCGTCTACTGTCCGTCTTTGTGAATTTTTTTCATAAAATAGGTGCATGTTTGTTTGCAGTAATGCTATGTAGTGATACCTGTGATTCATTACAAAGAAGCATTGTGGGCTGTAAGCATCAAAGTAAGTTACGTAAAGTACATAAAGCACATCAAGATTTGGAAAGTATCATCATAAAGTGATACAAGATAAATTTGATATGTTTTTTTTTAAATTTGGTATTATACGATAGCATTTAAATTTGACATAATAATAATTCTTTTTTTTAGAATAGTGTCACTCTTTACCGTAATTCACATTCCGAAAAGATTGACAAAATAAAAAACTTGATAATTTTCAATGAAAAGATGGCCAAAAGAAATTTTGATCATCGCAAATTCAGAATAATTTACTTAAAAGTGTAACATAATTAGGGCTGATGAGAATTCAGTAGTTTTTTATTATCCAGGATAAAAATCTCATTAGTAATTATAATATAAATAGATTGGTGTCTTTTGCTTAACGTAAACAAAGGAGTCCGTTTCACTTAATCACGATCTAGATACAGTTAGCATCAAAATATTTCACGCGACTCTCTTACACACAAAATTTTCGCACGACGTTTACACCGTTTGCAACGTTTTACACACCAAGCCTCAAGCAAGTCCATGGCAAGTCAATCCTTATATCCTTATATCTTTATATTTCTTTATATTTCTTTATTCTGAAGAAAATTAAATGTTTAAAAAAAAAAACCAATTAACTTTTTGTCATGACACGGATCAATTCCAAAGATGGATGAATAAAAAAACTTATTGATGCAATTACGTACCCTCAGTACTATGACCTAGAACATCTACAAATAATTAAAGTTCATTGACCCCATCAAAGGAAGTAAGTAGATCGAAAAGGGTAGATTTTTTAAAATGAAAATCAGTATCAGGTAAACACCCTCTTCTCTTATCCTTCTAAAAAGTTGGATTTTCAAGAGCCCCTTTCGTTAAGTTTTCTAATCCATTTGATGTCATATTAGAACATGGAAAAATGCAATACCGATACGTATTATCCCTCTTTATTATTTTTATTATTTTACATATAGGCGAGAAAATAAACAATTAATAAAATTTCCTTTTAAAGTTGTCAATGTCACCAACCTTATCTTGTTTATTATGCAGTTTTCCTTTAGGAACTAATAAGAAGAGCATAATTCATAACGATATTACTTACAATACTGTAATATGAATCTTTAAACTTTTAAATCTAAATTTCAACTTTATTGAATGAATACTTTTACGTAGTAGTATTTGAATCTCTTCTGTGCGATGATACGTAGTGATGATACAGAACAAATAAATATAATAAGAAATATATGATATTAATTTGTTAACAATGATATGAAAAAGAATTGTTAGTCTAGATCATAGAGACTAACAGAGACTAACAGTGACTAACAGTAATTAAAACGATTGGTCACTAAATATATAGTTACAATTTCTTTAAACTTGTTCGGGGAAAATGTGAAACTTAAAGTTTTAAAAATTCGATACGTTAGCGAACCCTGAATTCGTTTATCTAGTAATCCATCTAGTTTTTTACTATTTCATAAAATTCATTTTCAGTTGAATATGTTTAAAATTTTTTCAATTATAGAATTCGATTTTATAACGCCCCATAAAAAATCTTCCCTATCTGCTATGATATCAATTAAAATTATTCACTACGTATCTGCTATCTACTTTAGTATCTGCTACGTATTAGAATTTGCTATTAGAGTTAGTGGTTTCTATATAATTAATCAATAAATAAAAAATGTCAATTGTTTTGAACTCCGATAAATGAAACAATATATCTTACTACGAAAGACGGACAGGTGATCAGCCTCACTAAACTGTTATTGTTTTTATCCCCAAGCCTCAATGTTTAACTTCCGCAATTGTTTTTTTATGTAACGCAAATTTAATTGACCGTCAATTTATACGTATTTTCACTTTATACTACTGTGATGTGTTAGGGCTGCACGGACGATGTTCTTTGGTTCTCGGATTTTAGTTTAACTTATAAGTGTATATACACTCCAAATAGTATTGCATAAATTGCAAGATAAACAGATCCCTTTTTTTTTTACCCCTTTTCTCTACCGAACTTTATTTTTTTTATCTAGTTTTTTTTTTTTTTTTTTTAATCTACTTCAGTTCTTTACCATATGATACTTATTAAAATAGATTATATAAAAGTATCAAGGGAAACGACTGAAAATTTATTAAAAAAAAAAAAAAAAAATTATAATTCATAGAGACCATTTTGCTTCCTAGCCTTGGAACAATTTTGGACAATAGACTTTAAAAAAATTTTATAATAATAATCGGGACTGGTCGCCCAACTTAGAAACCTTTAAAATTTCCATTTTTCTATTTTCTTCTAAAAGTATTACTACCTTTTTTTCATTTAGTCAAATTCATTTTATAATTCATACATTCTAAAAAAAAAATACTTTAAATAATACTCGAATGTTATCGATTATAACTCATTTATTAATAGCATGACTGATTATACTCTTTCATCGCAAACTACTCCTCGTGGAATACGTTCAACTACACGAAATTATCGGGACTATACCTCGTTCGACGAGGCCGAAGAAAGTGACTATGATAAAAGACATAATAATAATGGTCCTATTATAAATGGTCCTGTTAATAATAGGTGGAGAGCCAATAGCATAACCTCCACCTATACCCCCTCTTTTGTGCCGGGAAGAAGGTTTGACATAAAAGAACCTGATAATAACATTAATAATTCTCGGAGAAGGCGAGGAAGAAACTGGGAAACAGACGACGAACTATTTAAACCAAGTCATGTATGTCTGAATTCATATAATTTTTACTATTTATGCTATTATTTCTTAAAATTCTCGTTACTCCCGTCATTCTCGTTACTCTCTTTATTTTCGTTATTCTCGTTATTTCGTTATTCTCGTTATTTCGTTATTCTCGTTATTTTCGTTATTTTCGTTATTCTCGTTATTTCAACTCCTATAATTTCCTTAACTCTCATTATTCCCATTATTCACTCTATTATTATTATTTTCTAAAGTCGAATGCTCATTTTATTCTCTTCTTTTTATATTAGCGTAATTCATTACCTACACAACTCCCTTCTCCAATATCTCCTCTATACTCCTCTCAAAATGTTATTGACGAATCAACAACTACAAGATCTTTACTTAATCTTCTCAATAGTGAGCGTGCAAAAAGGAGAGAATTACAAAAAGATTATGATTCAACTGTTGATACTTTACGTGAACTTCAACAGAAACATAATGAAGATGTCTCTGAGATGAAAGAGATGGAAAACGATATTCAAGTCTTAAGAGATGCTTTATTAAAAGAATCAAAAGCTAACACTCAATTAAGTAAACTTCTCAGAGAAACTCGTGGAAAATTCTTAGAAGATATGAAATCTTGGGAGAAGTCTTGGAATTTAAAAGTTTCCGAAATGGAAGCTCAAGGAAAAGAATTACAACAAGCTTTTGATGAAGCTTGGAATCATCTTGAAAAAGAAGAAAGGGAAGTTATTAGATTGAGAGAAGAAAACGATTCATTACGTAAACAATTAAATAATAGATCTTTGGATCCTCCAATTATCAATCGTTTAAATCTTGAAAATGTTCGAAAAGTTGGTTATTTAGAAGATAGAGATGATTTATCAATTTCTACTGATTCTAAACATCCTACTGAATGTAATGAGATTTCTGATACTGAATCTGTAGCAAATTATTCAAAGATTACTGAATTGACTGATCGCGTTACCGAATTAGAAAATGAATTGGTCAAATCAAAAGAACTTAATCAAAAATATGAACTTTTATTTAAAGAATATGATTCTGATAAACAATCTATCATTAAACAACTTGGTGAAAAGGAAAAAAGAATAAAGTTACTTCTTGCAAGTAACAGTTTAAGTCAAAAGACTATAGAAAATTTACGTCAAGAAATACGAAAAGGTAAATTTAACGAACAAAAACAATTACATCCGCATCCACTTCGTCCACATACTCCCATTAAGCAATCTTACGAACAAGATGTACAACAAAGTAGACGAAAGATTTTAGCAGAGATGTCTAATAAAGAACGTAAAAATAGTCTGACTAGTACTAATAGTGGTAGTATTGTGAGCACTAGTAATATAAGTGGAAGTGTTGACGAAAAGGATGATATCCAAAATATCAATAATGAATATGTGGAAGGTGAACATTCTGAATCAGAAGAGGAAGATGATCGTGATGATCAATCTTCATCTTTATGTACTAGCAGTGAAGTTTGTGCACAAAGTCGTCTTGGTAGCGAAGAAGCAACCAGCGTAACCGATCCGCATACGGTTCAATCTGATTCTTCTTCATTATTAAGACAACAACAAAATAATCGAAATTGTATTAGTGATAAAGATCTGATAAATGATGATGATATTCTGGATGTGTTCTTTTCGGATATAGAAGATCGTTGTTTACCACTTCGAGGTCATTTTTCAGCTGCTGAATTCACTGAAGATGAGGATTATATTGACTATACTGATAAATTTGATGATGATGGTTCCGTAAGTCGAAGGCATAGCATGACTAGTGATCTTGGTAAATAATGAAAAATTCGGCGGATGTTAATTTGAACTATTTGAACTGTAATTCTTTAATTAATATCAACTTTAAAAGTTGATTATTTATGTTGTATATATAGTATGGTGCATTATTCTACATTATTCGTTAATACTTTTCACGATTCATTCATTTAGAAATCTTTTAGGTTTTATCTCTTTTTTTTTTTTTTTTTTTTTGTTTGTAAATATTATGTACACTTTTTATATCATACCAAAAAAAAATAGGTGACGCGTTTTTAGATGGTGAAAAAAAATTTCTAAGCATAGCATTCGAACATTTTTATTTAGTTCACGCACGCATTTACACACAAAAAAAAAAAATTATATCATTCAGAATTCAGTAATTCAGTAATTCGGTAATTCAGTAATTCAAGTAATTCGGTAATTCAGTATATGCACCAATACCACTCGCTGCTACTTTCTTTTCTGTATTGATTTTTTCTTTTTTTTCTTTTTTTTTTTTTTTTTGTAACATATGTAATCTGTATTCCGATACTCTTTTGTTTGGTACTTGTTTGTTAAGAACAACCCACAAAAAAAAAATATATCTCTCTTTTTTTAAAAAAATCGTATTACAAATTTTTTCAGTTTCCAATTTACGAGTTAACTCTATTGAGCGACATTAGTTCAATTTGTTATTACTGTATTAAACAATCACGCACTACGTATTAGGTAACCAGCATGGTTGCTTTTGGACCGTGCTGTCCTCAAGACTTTTGACTTACAGCATTGTACCAGATTCACAGATCTAAACCAGTTAAATTAATGCGCGTTGATCAGCATAGATCATACATTTGATTATTGGTGTTTTTCATTATGAAAAGATTACGCAATTGGTAAACTATTACCAAAGAAATCTTTTTAATAAATTTAAACTTGACCAAAACTGTCTTTTATCGTCTAGAACAATATTCGAAATGAAATAACCAATGCACATAAGTTATCAGAAGTGATGAGCATGATCATTTTAAGTCATAGATCGAAGTTAAATTAAAAATTAAAGTATTTTATTTATGCATGTGATTATATTTTTTACATGTTTATTCAACAAGTTTTTAATATTATTTGAGGTGCATTTCATTGAAAATTAAAAATTCTATGATTACTCAGCAGCAATTCGAAAAAAAATTATAATTTGGTATCACTTAACAATACTTGATAATCTAAAATTATTCTCTTTTTTTTCTCAATTGTTAGGTAGCATGAATCAATTCCACACTGTATCGGTATTTAACGTTAACAAAAGTATATAGAAACTTCGTATTATTGTCAATATCGGTATAAACAATATCGGTTTGGTTTAAATAATGCATAATTATTACATATAATTATCGTTATAAAAAAAAATTTTTTTTATACTATACGTATTATTATTTAAGAATTTGAATGATATCAGATTTAGTTAACTCTTTTATACACTACGTACATACGTAATATTACGTTATTAAAAATAATCATTGTTATTCATGGTGGTATATTAATATATATAACTCCAGATCGAAAAGTATATTACATACAGTATATAATTGCTTACAGTATAAAAAAAATCGAACAATTAAAAAAAAATTTTATTATTCAACAAAAAAAAGCAAAAAATGGTTTATTATATACAGTATTTATTTAATAAATTTTTGATTTTATTAAAAGAAAATAGTTGTTAAAGTAGTATAATATAAAAATAGGTAGTATTTACAGCATCTGAATAATTTTAAATTGTAGCTTATAGATTAATATTTTGCTATCTAATTTAAGAATTTAAATTTTTATTTATAGTATTTAATTTATTAAAATTAAATTATTTTTAATTACAGTCGTCCTCCCATACAATCACACAGTTGGGCACATAGTAACTTTTTTTTAAAATGTGCTTATAAAGAGGTTGTGCTTATATAGAGGTTTTTTTCTTATAAATTAAATTATAGTTTGGCCTAAATAAAAATGTGATTACATATGATGTGATTATATGGGAGGTGACTATATGGAGGGACGACTGTATTTACTAAAATGCGCCTATGGTACGAAACATCATAAATGCTACAAAAATGTACTAAGTTATTGGAATTTTAATATACAACTGTGTTATATAATAACTACTCTAATTTAATAAGTTTTGACCTCATCCAAGTGCTATGCAAACCACCCAAATGCAACCTGCCACACTAGTAATTAATTGATACTAGTAGACTATATCTGATAGCCTAAGTTGTATACTAAAAGAGTTTTATTTCAATTAATATGTATTTTTTTATTGCCCTATCACGAAGTTTGGCCACTTCTGTTTCTTTTCTTTTTCCTATCAAATATATAATAGTATTGTTTGGTTTATATTAGCTTGAGATCTTTTTGTGGCTTCTTGTCTTTGAGCTTTTGGTTTTTTCTTTTCTTCTACCTGTCAATTCTATTGTCTTCCTTTTATTTAATAACTTTCTTATATCTAGTTTTTTATATTAACTTGTAAAAACTATTTCATATAAAAAATATTATATCTTTAGCAATATATATTTTGCAATTTTTTTTTAACTTAATATAGGTATTAAATCTTTGTATTTTATTTTTCTTTATGAGGGCTTTTTACTATTTATATTTTTATCTTGTACATGGGACAATTTTGAACAATTTTGGACATTTTTTCAAATTAAAATTACTCAAAATTTTATTAAGATAATCTATTTTAATTTTTTCACCAATGAGTCCAGTGTTTAAAAAAATATATAATTATATATTTTTTAAAATTACTTTATTGATTAGTTAAACATGGGACATAGGCTTGAATGATTTTGGACAATCTTGAACGTTGGACATTTTACATAGTATAGACATGTCCCATATACAACACTGCTATAAACCAATATCTTTTTATATATATTTTACAAAAATTGATATAACTTTAAAATAAAAAAAAAATTTAAAAAATTTTTTTAGCCAATTTGTAGCTTTAAGTCTAAGCTACAATTTGGCTAAAAAAGATTTTTATTTTATTTTAATTTTAAAAAAATATATCAATTTAAAGTTTACTATGAAATTGAAAATTTGTATAAAAAAAAAACCTATATTATTTTTGACCAATTACAATTAATTACATTATATTAGCCAATCAGAATTAAGTATTTATTTTAAAATTTGGCACAGAGGTGTTAGTTTATCCCTTAATATATAGACCAATACAGGCAAATTTGCCTGTATTTTTGCACTTTTTTAGCTCTGATTTACTTTTTTAAAATGCTAAAATATTTAAATAAAACTTTGCACAATTATATTTGAAA